ATTATAAATGTAATTCACCCTTGTAAGGAATTTGGCAAACATGGAAAAGTACACAAATAGAACTAATATCAGCTTTTAAGAATTAACTACTGTTTAAAAAAAAATTATGATGAATTTCATTCTGGTCTTTTGTCTGTACATATTTTTTTATAAAATTGGGTTAGGCTGTGGATACAAATTTGTGTCCTTTGTATTTATTTATAGTCTACATATTTTTCACTTTAATAAATAGAATTCAAAAATTTGAGCCATAATTTATTTAATAAAATCCCTACTTTGGGATAATGAGGTTTTAAATTGTGGTAATAAGCAGCCTTAAATATCTTTAATTTCTTAGGCTGTGGCACTAACGAGGAAATTAATTGGGTCAATGGATACAGATACCTCTTTTAAAAAATAATCTTATTATAGTATACTTTTATTTTTTGTGGCTTTTAAACATAAAGACCTTAATACAAGAAGAAACATAGCCAACAGTGAGGTTGGTATTGTGGCCCTTCTTTACCCTGGGCATACCATTTAAATGGTAGCAGGTTAACAAGTTTCTTTTACTCCTATTTGAAGAGTAACTCACATTCAGCACATCCTCGATTATCAACAGATCTGGTATGTGGAATATCTATAACATGTAATAGATTAAGCCCAGTGTCAAAAAATTGATGTCTTTCTTGCCCTGTCACCTCAACTCTAATTTTCCTGTATGTAATTTTGCTGCCCTGCTTTCTCTTCACCGAGCCCCATGTCTCTCTCATCTGTTTCATCCTCATGATTATGTCCAGCAATGACTGCACTTTAAATTCTAAACTTATTTCTAGTTCAAGCCACTCTGACATCAAAACTTCCTGTGGGATTTCTGAGGGAATTTGGGTGAGAGGAGGAAGCATAGCCCTCTGAGATATGCCTTTTTGATTCTGAGGTCCCTTGTGTATAAATATGTGCAGGAAGATTAAGAGCACAGGCGTTGCAGTTAGAATGCCTGGGTCTAAATCCCAGCTCTGCCNCATTGTATACTTTCATCAAAACATCCTCTTGTACCCCATAATTGTATATAATTGTATACAATTATGAAAAATAAATAAAAATTAAAATATGAATGACAAAATAATTTTTAAATAGTTATTGTTTATAAATAAAGAAAGAAAGAAGTGGACAAGGCCATATGCTAGCAACCCTTTCACTGGAGCAGTACAGGTGAGAGGCAGACAGTGCAGGTGCAAGGGAGCCAGGTGGGCATGTGAAGCAGGGCAGCATGCCACAGGCCTGACTGTCCTCTCTGGGGAAGGATCTGAGTGCAAGTGCTCATATTTAATTTTCTTATGATAAAGCTGAAAGGGATCTTCCAGCCAGTGCAACCTCAAAGCTGAGATTTTTTTCTTTCCCACTGAAGATTATGCCTCTATTTCTACTATTCGCCTCTCCTTGCCTGGGAAAAATTATGTCTAAATTATATTTACGTTATTCCCCTCTTTACCAATAGTATATGTATTAGCTAAGTTACAGTACAGAAGTTTATGTGATAGCTGAACAGACTATAGAATAAAATAACTTTTTCTAATTATAAATGTAATTCACCCTTGTAAGGAATTTGGCAAACATGGAAAAGTACACAAATAGA